ATAAATGATGTTCAACTGTATAAATACATTGATTGACTTTTATAACACTTGATCCTCTTTTGCTCAACATATTCTTGACAAAATCTGACAATTGTCAAAATACAAGACAAAAAAAACAAAAAGAAAAATATTTTATACATACAAAACTATTCATCCGATATAAACAATGGTCAACTAGTTAATTTAATGAAAAGTTTAAAATACGAATGAACGAACGAATAACCTTGAAATTATTGTTATTCTCGTAATGCCGTCGCTACTTGTAGAGTAATATATATATATATATATACAAGGTCAAGTTATACATGCTCATCGTCGTATGGAAAGGAAAAGGAAATAGTAAGAGTTTTCTTGAGAATATGAGACGCGACAAATGGAATTAACAGATGGTGAAACAGGAGATAGATAATCAATGAAAAACTTCTGAGTGTCGTTTAACAAGGACATGAACAATTACAGAAAAGAGATGTCCTTAATGGAAGTGATGTCGTAATCGAAGACAATTTATTATTGTTTCACTATATATTTTGGATATATTGTTAAAGTAAATATCAGAATATAGCTTAATCAAACAAGATATATACAAATACAATTTCTTGTTCATCTTACTTGCGTCTTTTTCTTAGTATAATAATTTTAACTAAATCAATGATTGGCATTTCGTTTTATATCCTAATAAATTTTATCTTATTTATTGTATAGCATTTTGGTTTTCTTTTTTTTTTTGTTTGTCATTGATGTCGCCAATAATTATATCTTTCGTTATACATATATAATAGAGGTCAAGGTATCGTAATCTTCGTCGGTCTATACATCCTTGTACATCATCATCATCAAGGCACAATATCACACATACACATCATCAACATGCGAAACTACACTTTTTTTTTATATGACAATCAGCAATAAAACAAACAAGAAGAAATAAATATATATTTAAAACTAGTTAGAAAAGAATGAAAAAAAAAAAGGAATTTATTTATCTCTGTATAAAAATAACAATACGAGACATGTTTAACGAGTTTTTTCTTTAAATATATATATTTGTGCAAATATATCATAAAATAATCATACATATATTTATATAGGAAAACTCACTAGAAAAAAATTGATCATTTTGAATTTTTTTTTAATATTCTTCATCTAAAAAAGAAAAAATTTTGTTCTATCAAACAATATCTTAAAGGATATGGTACCCATAATTTCAATTGTCCATTGAGGATATGTTTTTTTAAGAATTTCTACTGTTTTTACATGATCAGCTTCACCAAATTCCTAATTAAAAAATAAAAATTATTAAATAAAAAAAAAATTTCTTAATTAAATAAACTAACTTGTGAAGAACCATAAACTGAAATTGATCTAGTTCCAGGATCAACTTGTATTCGACCACCACCTTTACAATCTAATGTTAAACTATTTTCATCTATTTCATTTTGAATGTTTTGTAATACATCAGCTAAATAAATACATATATACAATTAATAATAAATTTTATTTTATTTTTTATATTCTTACCATGATGAGCACAAGACGCATCACCACGAACAACAAATTTTGATTGACCATAAGTTGCACCACTATCTCGAACTTCAATTAATAAATATTTACAACAACCAGCTTCAGCAATATTGACATCGGGAACATGAGAAATATTGTCAATTTTACCCATTGATGTATTTGTCCAATATGGATGAAGAATATATTTTTCTTGTAAACGTTTAGCATGTTGTAAAAGTTCATTACTATTTCGACGTAAACTTAAACGTCGGGACGTTGATGATGACATCGTACTGAATATGTATATCTATATATATATATCAATGCTTTTCGTTTTTTTTTCGGTAATGTTAAAATTAAATTTCTTCTTATTTATATCTGTCTATTTGTATCTTATGAAATCTTTTTATAGGATTAGATTAAAATAGATTTAAATAACAATGACTCGACTATCTAATCAAACACCTACCAAAAAACATGGGATAAAATGCACACCTCTCTTTTTTTTCTAACGAGCCTCACTTCAATAACAAAAAAAAAAAAAATATTACCTATCTCGAACCAAATAACAAAAAATATGTGTAGTTAGAAAAAAAAAATAACCGTGACAGATCTGATTGGGTGTGCATAAATATAAATATACATATGACACTACTATTAATAGCATATCGAGATTTATATATTTGTACACCATTGCAATAATTTGACATCATAGGTAATTTCATCGTATATTTTTTATTTTCTACGGCCATAGGTATCTGATTTTATTCATATTTAATGGTTTGCTGTCAATGTGTCAATCAAATACTAATTGGAAGAATTTTGAATAATATGTATTTGAATATAGGTTTTTTTTTGTATTTTTCTTATGCGAAAAATAACGCATGATAATTTGCGTAAATTATCGAGTCATAAGTTATGAAGAAAATATTTACACCTGCTTTTTTTTTTGAAGCAATAAAAATACAATGATTTTTTTGAATGTTCGAAAATGCCCTTTTATATCTAATGAATGAAATACAAGAAAACAAAATGTAACTTACTCGCTTTGTTTCAATCTTAGTAGAGAATGTAATATATTTTTAATTTTTATTAAAGAAAATAGTATATATATATATGTATATATATGCATTATCTAGAAGAATGTGCTGGAATATCTTTCATAAAATAACTGAGTCATATATTGATTTATCAGGATATATCAATGGTAAAATTCTATAAATAGTTTAATCTGTCTATGAATATGTACTCTCGCGATCAAGTGCACAGTCATACAGATTATTAATACGAGATAAACTATCTCATCTTAGTCATAAAATTATTGCCATTTCATAACATATTTAAGACATTCTTTTTTAAAAATTTATTGTCAAAGAATATGATTATCAAAAAATTATATTTAATCTGAAATGAATAGACAAAATTCACTTTGTCCATTTAATTATCATTTCACATTCTTCATGTTTTTTCATTTTTTTTTTTTTATCAAAATATGACAAAAGAAAAATACATTAAAACAAAACAAGATATATATATATATATATATATATATTAAGTAAGTGCATCAACAAGTGAATCTTTAATTGTTTTATTAGTTGTTATACCAGTCGTATTATGTTGTCCTAATTTAAATACACTTTCAATAACACTTATTTCATGTGCTGTTGTTTCTAATCCACAAAAACCCATCCAATCATTAACTAAAAGTCCAGCAGCAATAACATCACTACCACGATTAATTGTTCCAGCAACAAGCGGTACTTGTAATAATGATGATAATTCTTCTTGTTCCTGTATGGATGTTTTAGGATGTACAATTCCACCTTGATTTGAAAAAACAGAATAACTACCAACAAGAACACGATCAGCTATTGTTTGTCGAAAACATTCAACATTAAGTGTATCAGTTAAAATTTGTTCAGTTTCTTTATCTAAATCTGGATGTATAAGTGCAACATAATCATTACATGCAATAACATTTCCTAATGCTGATAAACGTTCATCACAACGTCTTAAACGAACATTATCTGGTAAAGAATTACGTATATGTTGTAATTCTTGATCAGTTGTTGCTGATGGTACAAGAAGACCATGTCGATTACCAACAGTTAAACGACCAACAATACGACAATCAGCTGAAAAAAGAAAATTTCTTGTTTTTTTGTTTTTTGTAAATTAAAAAAAAAAAGAATAATTATCATACAGATAGATGAATGAATAACTGGTATATGATCACTAAGTTCACTTTCAAATGTTGAATAAAAATTTTCTGATCCGCCAATACCAACCAAACAATAAGAATTTGTTAATCGAGCAAAAACACCAACATCATTACTACTTTCAAATTGTGTACGTACCGCCATAATAATAAAGTTAATAATTTTAATTACTCACTAATCTAGTGAGAATGAATCTAAATACAATATAAAAACTGCGTTATATATTATATATCTTGTATTCATAAAGAATTGCGCAAGAATGACTCAAATTTCTCAATAATAAATGCAGAAAAGAAAAAACAAGAATGTTTTTTTTCTTTTCTAGTCATATTAATCTTTTCTTCATAATATGCAATTAAATTTATTAAAACAAAAATTAGATAGGAAAAAAATCATCGTATTTATTTAAACAAAAACAATATTATATAAAAAAAAAAAAAAGAAAATTCTTAGAATTATTTTATATATATATATATATATTATTTTTGCATTTATTTGTCATCTTTGATGACTATTTTTTTGTAGATTGTCTCGATTTTCTTAATGGTCCTTTAATAAAAGCCCAATCAACATGTAATGTCTGTCCAAGTAAATCTTGTCCATTAATATTATCTAAAGCATTTTTAGCTTCTTTAAATGTTTCATATTCTACAAGTGCATATCCTTTAGCAAAACCACTTCTTCGATCTAAATTTAAATGCATATTTTTAACATTTCCATATTCTCGAAATAAATCATATATTGTATCTTCTTGTGCTTCTTCATGAACATTTCGAATAAATAATATCCATCCTTCAATTGATCGTGCTGGTCCAGGATTATTTTCATTTTCATTTATAATTCTATCATAATTACCACTTTGAATTCCCGAACGATCATTTTGTTCATTAAAACCACGACCTTTTCGATGACGTACATTTGATTTAATTTGATTTATAGATTCATTATCATCATCAACAATAATGTCATCATTATCATCTTGAATTTCTACTTCGATGTTACTCATGGCTTTTTTTTTCGGATAGTAGTAACTAATGAATCGAATTGATAGCAATGCCAAAAATCAATAAATATATTTAGAAAAAAAAAGTGTATCGAAATTAATTTTTTTTTTAAATAAAAACTTTTTTTTATTGTAAAAATTATCGTCTTTTTCCAAAAACAAAAATTTCTCCTGACATCTATGTTTTATTTAATTAGTCATAGGCAATCATCAAATAAAAAAATACATCGTATTTTCCATGATTATATTATCGTCAGGAAAATAACATAAATAGAAAAATGTCTTGGCTTTTATGTGTTTTGTTTTTTTATAAATCATCTTTTATACTTAGTCAATCTGTACCTTTATTACTTCTTGTTTCATTTGATGGTTTTCGTTTTGATTATCCACGATTATATGGACCATTGCGATATTTTTCTCGATTAGAAGATCAGGGTGTACACGCTCACAGCATGATACCAACCTTTACAACTGCAACATTTCCTAATCATTATACGTATGTTTATTTATTAGGTTAATTTTTATCAAGTTTTTCCTTTTTATTTCATTTGTTTTTTTTTTAAATTAGGTTAATTACAGGTCTGTATGAAGAAGTTCATGGATTAGTTTCGAATGAAATATATGATTCAAAAACAAAAAGTGTTTTTCAATCATGGACAAATATGACAGATCAATGGTGGCCATTAAAATCAATTTGGACAATAAATGAAGAAAGATATGATGGTCGATCTGGTGTTATTGGATGGCCACAACATTCGATCTCGATATCAAAATATGAACCGTATCGTAAAGAACGTTCATTTAAAGAAATAATTGATCGAATGCTCAAATGGTTTAATGATCCTATTAAACCAATTAATTTTGGTGCAATTTATTTTCCGGAACCAGAATTAACTGGTAAATCTATTGTTAAAATTCAGTTTTTAATGAAAATCTTTTTTGTTTTTGTTTTTATATAGGTTATCAGACTGGACCTTATTCAGATAAAATGAAAGAAATAATAAAAACATGTGATGAACATTTAGGTTATCTTTTAAATGAAATAGATAAAAATGTTAATTTAAAAAATAATCTTCATCTAATTATTACATCTGATCATGGAATGGAAGAAATTAATGCTACAGATAAACCAATCTATCTTGAAGATTATGTTGATATGACAAAATTAAAAGCATTTGGAACAGAAACTGTTATAAATATTTTTCTTAATTCAAGTAAGTTAATTTTGACTTATATTTTGCCTTAAAAAAAAAATCCCATAGCGATAATTGTATCTCAAAATCAAGATTTAAAACTATGTATTTACATAAATTGAGATCGTTTTTAAATTTTAGTGAATGATATTGATGATATTTTTAAAAATCTAAGTCAAATTCCACATACACAAATATATAAACAACAAGATATACCTATTCGATATCATTATAAAAATAATTTACGTATTGGTGATTTAATTATAATTGTTGATCCTGGTTATGAACTTCATCGACGTTCTTTTCGTATGTTTATTAATTTATTTTTATACTTTTTTTGCTTTCTATCTTAAAATAGATACGAAGATGGTGGTATCAGAGCTAATTTGAGTACAATACATGGAAATCATGGATATGATAATCAAATGGATTCAATGAAAACAATATTCTATGCAAGTGGACCACAATTAAAACAAAATTTTACATTATCTAATACATCAACACTGTATAATGTTGATATATTTGCATTAATGTGTTTAATACTTAATATAACAAAATGTCCACCATCAAATGGTTCTTTAGCTAATATTCAACCTTTTTTAATTGATCCAACTAGAGTACTTAGTATTATTGAAAAGGAAACAGGAAAACTACAAGATGGCTCAATAAGTTTAGTTATTTATTTGCTTGGTTAGTATAATTTATATGCTTGTTAGAACAATATATTCAGTGTTTTATCCAGATTTCTTTTTCCTTTCGGAGAGACGATTTCAAACTCTGGAACAGGCGAACAGGTATTTTTGGGAAGGACAGACTAAAACTCGTCGGGTTGATTTCGAGCTCGAACTTCATTGAATGTTT